GTCTGTAGACTAGTTTATAGTCGAGTATATAGTCTATAGTTTTACCTATAGTCTAGTGTATAGTCAAGTTTATATTCTAGTTTTTTGCAAATGTTTTTGTGCTAAATATTAAAATTTTTAGTAAATTTTTATTTTTATTTAAAATACTATGGACACAAAATTGTATTTAAGTAAACAGATCGAAATACATATGTATACATATAATTGTTAAAATTTAACTTTTTTGGTTCTAGGGAATAATTTCCAAGAGTCCTTTTTTACTTTTTAACTATGCGCACCAACTGACCCTCGGCAGTATACTTATATAAAGGATCATTGATCTCACCCACTTTGGTATATTTCAATTCAGCTGTAAAATCATTTTGTTTCGTTTCATCTTCACTTTTCTTGGTGGTAAATTTCACTTTTTGTATAGAATGATCTGGATTAACTACAAAATATTGACCCTGAGCTATACGATCATTATTATTTTCCTGTAAACGATTGTAATTCTGTACAGCAGCATTTAAAGCATCTAAAGCATATTGTTTCTCCAATTCTTCTTCTTTCTGGGATTGAGTGTAAGCTGGAGCACCATATTCTAAGGCGGGAGCTCCATATTCTAAAGCAGGTTGCTGTTGTTGTTGTTGTCCTGCGTTTCTGGGATCTATGTTATAATTGGGTGGAGCACCATATTCTAGAGCCGGTCGCTGTTGACTTTCAAATCTTTCATCAGTGGTGGAATTGGGTAGATTTGGTAGAGGTATATTTACAGGAGGTAAAGTTGGAAAATTAGGTTGTGGTTGAGGTGGTTTATTATCCGGAGTCTGAGGGCATTGTGGGCATTCTGTAGGTCTTTGTCCTGGCCTGTTATTTCGTCTTCTGCCATGATTGTGATTATGTCTATGATTAAAGAGTTGTCTCATATTATTGCCAGCACCCACTTGATTATTAATAAACACTATCTCCTCGGCCGGCAAATATTGTTTCTCAGGTTCTGTAATTGGGACTCTTGATACTTCTTGACCAGCAAAGTCTACTCTCTGTTTGGTTATTTCAAAAGTAAAGCCCTGATTAGGTAACTGTTGCACGGAGTCGACATCATACGAAGGATAATATTCCCCCGGCAAGTCGAAAGGTATGTTAGGGCGATAACCTGATGGGGCATAAGGAGCTGCTTGATTATTGTAGTTATAGGGAGCCTCAGCTGAGGACTTTACTATAAACAATATCGCTACCAAAAACAGCTAAATATATAAATAAAAGTTATTAATATTAAATTAAATTCCTTTTAACAATTAAACTTACTTTTATTAACATGTTTATTTTATTACAAATTTAACACCTAGACTATAAACTAGCTTTATAAAAATTGATTTTAAACTGTTTTAAATATTCTAAATTTACAAAGTTTTTATATAGAAATTTTTAAAAAGTTTACGCACTTTTAAAATTTTTTAAATTATAATTTAAAACACGTAAAAACTGCAAGGGGTGGCTGCCAAAAAAAAAAAAAATCGAAAAATATTCTTTTAAACATATTTATTTAATTAAATATTTTTTACACGTAATATAATGTTTAATGAACTGTATTTTTGTTATTCTGCATCATATAACATTGACTGCATTTTTTTTGCAACCGCCAACGACACATCATTTTGTTATATTTTATAAAAATAAAATTATGACAATATTTATGAGTGACATAAACCTTTTTTTTGCATATTTTTTCCTTAATAAAAAATACGTTTTAAAAAGTAGAGCGTTAATGTCAAGTTTAAGGCTTAAACAAAGTTTAAATAAATAAAAAATTGTATTAAATATAAAACAAAGTTAAATAGTTTAATCGATTACATCAAACTATAGACTAGTCTAATTAAAATCTAGTTTAAAGTCTAGTCTAAAGTATAGTCTTAAGTCTAGTTTAAAATCTAGTCTAAGTCTAATATAATGTATAGGCTAAAGTCTAAACTAATGCCTAGTGTAAAGTCTAACCGAAAGTCTGGTCTAAAGTCTAGCCTAAAGTTCAGTCTAAAGTTTATTCTAAAATCTAGTCTAAAGTCAAGTCTTATGTCTAGTCTAAAGTCTAGTCTTATGTCTAGTTTAAAGTCTAGCGTAAAGTATAGTTGCAAGTCTAGTCTAAAGCCTAGTCTAACGTCTAGTCTTAAGTCTTGTTTAAAGTCTAGTCAAAAATCTAGTCTTAAGTCTTGTTTAAAGTCTAGTCTAAAGTCTAGTTTAAAGTTTAGTGTAAAATTTTGTCTAAAGTCTATTCTTAAGTCCAGTGTAAAGTTTTGTCTAAAGTATAGTCTAATGTCAATACAAGAGTCTAGTATAAAGCCTATTCTACAGTATAGTCTAAATCATAGTTCAAAGTCTTGTCTGAAGTCTAGCCGATAGTTTAAAGTTTAGTCTAGTCTATAGTCTAGTCTATAGTCTAGTCTATAGTCTAGTCTATAGTCTAGTCTATAGTCTAGTCTATAGTCTAGTCTAGTCTATAGTCTAGTCTTTAGTCTAGTCTATAGTCTAGTCTATAGTCTAGTCTATAGTCTAGTCTGTAGTCTAGTCTATAGTCTAGTCTATAGTCTAGTCTATAGTCTAGTCCATAGTCTAGTCTATAGTCTAGTCTATAGTCTAGTCTATAGTCTAGTCTATAGTCTAGTCTACTCTAGTCTAGTCTACTCTAGTCTAGTCTAGTATAGTCTAGTCTAGTCTAGTCTAGTCTAGTCTAGTCTAGTCTAGTCTAGTCTAGTCTAGTCTAGTCTAGTCTAGTCTAGTCTAGTCTAGTCTAGTCTAGTCTAGTCTAGTCTAGTCTAGTCTAGTCTAGTCTATAGTCTAATCTAGTCTAGTCTAGTCTAGTCTATAGTCTAGTCTAGTCTAGTCTATAGTCTAGTCTATAGTCTAGTCTATAGTCTAGTCTATAGTCTAGTCTATAGTCTAGTCTATAGTCTAGTCTATAGTCTAGTCTATAGTCTAGTCTATAGTCTAGTCTATAGTCTAGTCTATAGTCTAGTCTATAGTCTAGTCTATAGTCTAGTCTATAGTCTAGTCTATAGTCTAGTCTATAGTCTAGTCTATAGTCTAGTCTATAGTCTAGTCTATAGTCTAGTCTATAGTCTAGTCTATAGTCTAGTCTATAGTCTAGTCTATAGTCTAGTCTATAGTCTAGTCTATAGTCTAGTCTATAGTCTAGTCTATAGTCTAGTCTATAGTCTAGTCTATAGTCTAGTCTATAGTCTAGTCTATAGTCTAGTCTATAGTCTAGTCTATAGTCTAGTCTATAGTCTAGTCTATAGTCTAGTCTATAGTCTAGTCTATAGTCTAGTCTATAGTCTAGTCTATAGTCTAGTCTATAGTCTAGTCTATAGTCTAGTCTAGTCTAGTATAGTCTAGTATATAGTCTAGTCTATAGTCTAGTATATAGTCTAGTCTAGTCTATAGTCTAGTCTATAGTCTAGCTATAGTCTTGTCTATAGTCTATATTCGAATCTTCTGTTTGTGCTTTTATTTTGAACATTACTGTGTTTGATGCACTTAAGTTTTTATTAATGAATCAAAGTTTTGAATAGTTTTTATAAAAATTTAACATTTATTTATTTGTTTCAATTTAAAACTAAATTTGTAATAATAAACATTTATAGACAAATATCGTTTATTAAACTCAGGGGAGGTCTGCCAACGAAAACTGGTTTAATTTTCACTCAATCTTAAAAAAAAATATTAAATTTAATGTAAAATTTTTTGCTTTAATTAACAAATATGTTTGTTGTAAAAATATAGATAAACAACAAAGTAAATGTAGGCCTATTAATTAAATTAAAAAATTGTTTAAAACAATTTTAATAGCAACAATTATGTAAATTTTTGTTAAAAAAAAATGTTTTACTCTAAATAGTTTTTTTTGCAATAATATCAAGGTCTTGTTATTATTTTAAAAATATTTGGCCAAAATTAAAAAATGTTTTATAAATTTTGATTATTAATTTTAACGGTTTTTAATTTGAATAAAAAAAAAACAAAACATAATTTTATGATGATTAATTAAAAAAATGTTTTAAAGTTATTTGAATTAGTATTTTTTTTCAAATATTATTAGCAAATGACTCATCATTTGTTATTTTTATTGTTTATCACGTTTATCTAATTTTTTATAACAAATATCAATCGAACACTGCAGTTAAAAAAAAATTAAAAATATTAATTAGTTAATGATTACTTGACAATGATTTGTTAAGTATATTAAACTAAAATTTGACACTGAGTTATTGTTGAAAATATTTTATTAAAAATTATATTGGAAATTATCAAAACGTTCGCTACCAAGACTATAGACTAGTTTTTGGTCTAGCTGAGAAGGCTCCCATAAGATCACCGTCTTTAATAATTGTAACTGTCATTAATCATTTCAAGACAAAAAAAAAAAAAAAACAGATTTCCATTTGGTATCAATTACGAAAGGTGCCAACATGTAATTATAATAACTACAACAATTACAATTGTAAATCTATATTAATTTAATAATAATCTTATTAAAATAAAAGATCTATATATTTAACAAAAAATCTGAATAAAAACGAAACATGAACCCAACAGATCAAAAAAGAAAAAATAAGAAAAAATATGAAAGATCATGTGCAGAAGCCCTTGAATTTTTATGTTCAACTAAACGTGAAACACGTTTTTTTATTTTCTATAAATCTTGTTTTTTTTCTATAAATTTTTTTATTTTTTTTATAATTTTTATGTTTAAAATAAGAAAACAAAATTTAATATTTTTTTGTGTTAAGCGAAAACTACAGAAGACAATAGAAATATGAAACAATTTAAACCCTCTGAAAAACAAAACAGATCATGAATTTGCAAGAATGTTTTACTTAAGGGGATATTCGATAAAACGGGGTGTGAAAATAATACATGTTAATTGAAAAAACTATAGGTTTCTTTGGCTTAGTCCAATTTAAAACCAGACTATAGTCCATTTTAAACCAGATTATAGTTAATAGTTTAGTCTATAGCCCAGACTATAGTCTATTCTATAGTACAAACTATATTCCAAACTATAGTCTATACTATAGCCTAGACTATACTATACTATAGTAAATTCTATAGTCCAGACCATAGTATATTCTTTAGTCCAGACAATAGTCCATTTCATAGTCTAGACCTTAGTCCATTCTATAGTCCAGACTATAGCCTATTCTTAAGTCCAGACTGTAGTCCATTCATTTGTCCTGATTTTAGTCTATTCTATAGTCCAGGCTATTGTCTGTTCTATAGTCCAGGCTATTGTCTGTTCTATAGTCCAGACTATAGACTATTCTATAGTACAGACTATATTCCAAACTATAGTCTATTCTATAGCCTAGACTATAGTCTATTCTATAGTCCAGACTATAGTCCATTCTATAGTATAGACCTTAGTCCAGTCTATAGTCCAGACTACAGCCTATTCTTAAGTCCAGACTAGAGTCTATTCTATAGTCCAGACTTTAGTCTATTCTATTGTCCATGATATTGTCTGTTCTATAGTCCATTCTATAGTCCAGACTATAGTCTATTCTATATTCCAGACTATAGTCTATTCTATATTCCAGACTATAGTCTATTCTATAGTCCAGACTATAGTCTATTCTATAATCCAGACTATTCTATAGTCCGACTATAGTCTATTCTATAGTCCGACTATAGTCCAGACTGTAGTCTATTCTAAAGTCCAGACTAGAGTCTATTCAATAGTCCAGGATATTGTCCGTTCTATAGTCCAGACTATAGTCTATTCTATAGTCCAGATTATAGTATATTCTATATTCCAGACTATAGTCTATTCTATATTCCAGACTATAGTCTAATCTATATTCCAGACTATGGTCTATTCTATATTCCAGACTATAGTCTATTCTATAGTCCAGACTATAGTCTAATCTATAGTCCAGGCTATAGTCTAATCTATAGTACATACTATAGTCTATTCCATAGTCCAGATTATAGTCTATTCTATAGTCCACATTATAGTATATTCTATAGTCCAGATTATTATAGTCCAGTCTATTCTATAGTCTATTTATAGTCCAGACTATTACCTATTCTGTAGTCTATTGTATAGTCCAGATTATAGTCTATTCTATAGTCCAGACTATAGACTATTCTATAGTCCAGACTATAGTCTATTCTAAAGTCCAGACTATAGTCTATTCTAAAGTCCAGACTATAGTCTATTCTAAAGTCCAGACTATAGTCTACTCTATAGTCCAGACTATAGTCTATTCTATAGTCCAGACTGTAGTATATTCTATTGTCCAGACAATAATATATTCTATAGTCCAGACTATAGTCTGTTCTATTGTCCAGACTATAGTCTATTCTATAGTCTAGTCTATAGT